GTGTGGAGCAGAGAGCTACCACAGCCGTCTGTGTGGAGCAGAGAGCTGCCACAGCCCCCTGTGTGGAGCAGAGAGCTACCACAGGGCACCCAGGATGTTTGTGTAAGAAGTAAACAGTTGAAATCACAAACGTTTGTCAGATGACTGACTTTTGTGTTGTGGTTTTTCAGAAAATATTAAATTATAAAGAAAATTTGGTGAAATCAATTCAATGTTGAACTCATTATAAATATCAGTCTCTCTTGTAAATGAGTCCTCGAGGCTCAATGGGATTTACCTGTCTAAATAAAGGTTGAATTAATAAATCCCAATTAATCAAGTAATACAAGCACACACACACACACACACACACTGAGACAGTATTTGGGTGTGGATGTTGTGAACATCTGCTCCCGTCAAATCCCTCAGGAGTCTCAGTGAGAGCTTTTTGTCTTTTTGCTTAAACACAAGCAGAGACTCATTAAAGTTGTGTGTGTGTGTGTGTGTGTGTGTCAGTCCCCCTCATTTAAAACTGTATGAAATTCACAGCAGCCCAAACCTCTGAGGTCTCAGCTTGTTGTGGTTGAACAGCTTCACTCCTGGTTTCTGCAGCTCTCTGTCTTCTCTGTAATCTACGGCCATGTTTACACGGACACGGCGCGGGAAACGTACGATGTTTCAGATGTTGGTTGGATGAAAAAGTGGACACGGCGCGTATTCTGTGTTTACATGAATCCCTTGAATCCGCTGTAATTTCCACGCCAGGTCGTTAGACGGCGCTGTGAATTTAGTAAATTCACCAATGCGTATGCGCGCTGCCTGGGACTGCTCTCAGTAAGGACTTCGACGACTACATATCAGGCTACAAAATCCTGCAGGCATCCAGGTTATGTTTTATTTTCTGTTGCATTATATAGTTCACATTAATCTGTCCAGTCCTTTCCATTCTGGTGTTCTCATGAATGACTTCAGGACCTTGACTTGACCTTTTCCTGTAAAAACTTCTTCACAAATCAAAAATCAAATCTTTTCCTGTTCACTTTCCTTTCTTGAAGCTTTAGTAAGTCCCAATTGATAAACAATGAAAATATGCAATATAGTTTCCCAGTGGTACTTCTCAGTGGCACTAGGTTAATGTAATCTCAAGGGTAGTGGGTAGCACCATTGCCTCACAATATGAAGGTTCTGGATTCAAGCCATTTGTTTGGTCCTTGAGGATGTCTGCTTGGAGTTGGTATGTTTTTCTTGTGTCACCTTGTCATCAGTTGTGTCCCATCCTTTTTGTCACCAGCTGAGTCTGAAGGTAACCTTTAGCACGTCTGACTCCAGATCAGCAGGTTGTATGTTCTTGTCACATCATGGTTTCACACATTCTCTGCTTTATACGACAAAAACTTGCAATCAGGATTGCCTTTTTCCACCAACAGCTCATGAGGCTCGGTGGCTCAATGGTAGAGCATCTGACTCCAGTTCAGAAGGTTGCGTGTTCAAATCACGTCAGGGTCAAACAACTTCCTGAATCTCTCCGGTCCAGCAAATTACTGACTTTTCTTGAAATGATTAAATGTGAAAATATCTTATGTTTGTTTCAAAGATCATTTTTGTGTGTTCAAGTCACATTAGATTCAATCAAGCTCGAAAGCATCTAAAGTCAAAAATATGAACAATTAACTTTAAACAAGAGCAAACCATTTTGAGCCCAAACACCTACTTACAGGTGAACGATCTCATTGATCCAGAGTAAAAACATGTTTAAATACAGGAGCCTAAAATTGTCTCTTATGTTAGACTGTAGGGACTGTTGAACATGCAACCTTCAAAACCCAGATACAGAAAGATTACCACTGCACAACGGGATCAAGTACCTCACTCAAGGACAGAGGAAGACCACACTGACAGCTGTGGGTTGTAGAAGTGAAGAAAGAAAAACTCTTTTCACATGACCAAGATTTGACTCAAACACACAACCTTTAAAGAAGAGCACCCATTTTGATCAAATAAAGGTTGAATGAATCCAAAATATCTGCTTAGAATCAAAGGCTCTCATTGATCCCGAGGGAAAAGGTACTTACATCCAGGATCCTAAAATTGTCTAACCAGTTAAACAGAAGACAGTGTCTGAATCATGTTTCCACTCAGTGTTAGTTTTGTCTGAATTCTCAGAATTATTACCTGACTCACTACTAAATACTGATAAAGTCATAATAATGGGTGATTTCAATATTCATGTAGATGTTGAAAGTGACAGCTCAAAAATGTAATAGTCAATTGGTTTTACCCAAAATGTCAGAACACCTACTCATTCTCATCATCACATTCTTGTCCTGGTTCTGACCTATGGCATCAAGATGAATAACTTATTAATAGTTCCTCAAAAACCTGTTCTGCCTGACCATTTGTTAATAACCTTTGAGTTTACATTAATGACTACACAGTCACTGAGAGTAAATTTCACCTGAGCAGGTTCTTGTCAGAAAACACTGTAACCAAATTTAAAGATCATCTTCCATCATTTTCCTCTGTCTTGCAGAGTAAAACATCAGAGAGCAGTGACTTGGATCATCTAGTTGATAATTTCACAACTACTTTGCAAACTTCACGTGATAAAGCTGCTCCACTGAAACAGAAAGTAATCAATCAGAGGAGATTAGTTCCTTGGTTCAATTCTGAGTTACGTATTTTAAAACAGGCATCTAGAAAGCTGGGAAGAAAATGGCGCTCCACTAATGTTGAGGATTTTCACTTATCCTGGAGAGATAGCCTGCTAACGTACAAAAAGTGATCTGTAAAGCTAGAACTTTATATTCCATCCATCCATCCATCCATCCATTTTCTTTACCCGTTTGTTCCATTTTGGGTCACGGGGGTCGCTGGTGCCCATGTCCAGCAATCACTGTGCGAGGGGCGGGGGACACCCTGGACGGGTCTCCAGTCCATCACAGGGACACATAGAGACAAACGAGACAAACAACCATTCACTCTCTCACTCACACCTAGGGACAATTTAGAGTTACCATCAGCCTAACATGCATGTTTTTGGTCTGTGGGAGGAAACTGGAGTACCCGGAGAAAACCCACGCATGCACGGAGAGAACATGCAAACTCCACCCAGAAAGGCCCCTGGACCGGGGTTTGAACCAGGGACCTGCTCGCTGAGAGGCAGCAGCTCTACCAGTTGCACCACCGTGCTGCCGAACTTTATATTATTCATCTGTAATTGATGAGACTAAAAATAACCCCAGGTTCATTTTCAGTACCATAGCTAGTCTAATGAAAAATCCTGTCTCTGTTGATTCATGTGTTCCAGCATCAACGTGTGGCATGGAGGCTGCACAGCTGCAGAAAGAAAAGCTTTGCAGAGAGTGGTGAAGGCTGCACAGAAGATGTTGGAGTCAGTCTCCCCACCATCACAGACATCTACACCTCCAGATGCAGGAAGAGGACCACCTGCATCATGAAGGACCACACTCACCCAGCACACACACTTTTTGCCCCACTCCCCTCAGGAAGGAGGTTAAGGAGCATTAAGTGTAGAACCACTAGACTGAGGAACAGCTTCTACCCTGAGGCTGTTAGACTCATGAATCTATAACCAGAATAATCACTGTGAAAAATCACATCATGTTGCTGCTGATCTGTTTCATGTTGCTGTTGATCTGTTTCAATGTTGCTGCTGATCTGTTTCAATGTTGCTGCTGATCTGTTTCATGTTGCTGTTGATCTGTTTCAATGTTGCTGCTGATCTGTTTCATGTTGCTGTTGATCTGTTTCAATGTTGCTGCTGATCGGTTTCATGTTGCTGCTGATCTGTTTCATGTTGCTGTTGATCTGTTTCATGTTGCTGTTGATCTGTTTCAATGTTGCTGCTGATCTGTTTCAATGTTGCTGCTGATCTGTTTCATGTTGCTGTTGATCTGTTTCAATGTTGCTGCTGATCTGTTTCATGTTGCTGTTGATCTGTTTCAATGTTGCTGCTGATCTGTTTCAATGTTGCTGCTGATCTGTTTCATGTTGCTGCTGATCTGTTTCATGTTGCTGCTGATCTGTTTCATGTTGCTGCTGATCTGTTTCATGTTGCTGCTGATCTGTTTCATGTTGCTGCTGATCCGTTTCATGTTGCTGCTGATCTGTTTCATGTTGCTGTGTTCATTCGTGCTCATCTGCTCACACAGACTCATGTTCTTGCTGCTGTTTGATGTACTGTTTTATGCTGTTAGTGATTAGTGTATTTTTAGTTGATGTTTTTCTTAGTTCATATCTTAGATGTTATTACTGTTTTTCTTTTACATTTTATTGTTGGATGTAACTGGGACCCTGTGAACATAATTTCGTTCCACCACATGTACCACATGAGGTGCGAATGACAAAAAAAGAACCTTGAATCCATGAATGTATCTCTACAACTATGAGCAGTGAAGACTTCATGAGATTCTTTATGAATAAAATTGTTTCAATTAAAGAAAAAATTCAAAACAACATTCCAAGTATCGGCTCTGGTTCTGTGTCAGATGAGACAACTTTAAAAAATGTCTCTAGAAACTGATTTATGTTTGGACTGTTTTAGTCCTGTTGAGCTCTGAATTGTCAGAAATAATATCTTCATCCAAACCATCACATGCCTGCTAGATCCCATCTCAACCAGACTGTTTAAAAACACATTTCCCTTAATTAATAACCACGTCTTGGATCTGCTTAATTTGTCTCTAACGAATGGTTATGTACCACAGAGCTTTAAGATTGCTGTAATTAAACCTTTACTTAAGAAACATAACCTTGGCTCAGGAATCCTAACAATTATAGATCTATATCTGATCTAACTTTCATCTAAAATATTCTAGAGAAAATAGTTGCAGGTCAGTTACATGATCATCTACAAAGAAATAATCTGAAGAGTTTCAGTCAGGGTTTAGAGTTCACCACAGAACTGAACCTGCACTGGTGAAAGTCACTAATGATATTCTCATGACCTCAGACAATGGACTTGTGTCTCTACTGGTCCTGTTAGACCTCAGTGCTGCATTTGATACAGTTGATCACAATATTTTACTACAGAGGCTTGAATATGATATTGGGATTATGGGAACAAATCTAAAATGGTTTAAATCATACTCATCTGACAGATTCCATTTTGCAAATGTAAATGATGAATCTTCATTATGCACCAAAATTAGTCATGGAGTTCCTCAGGGTTCAGTGCTCGACCCAATACTTTTTACCTTGTATGTGCTTCCATTAGGTAAAGTTATTAAACAGCATGGGATAAATTTTCATTGTTATGCTGATGATGTATTTATATTTGTCCATGAAGCCCAATGAATCTGGTCAGCTACTTAGACTACATGTCTTAAAGACATAAACGTTCAATACAAAAATCAACTGGACTTTATTTGTAACAGAAGACGTTTCGCTTCTCATCTGAGGAGCTTTGTCAAAGCTTCAGTTTGATGCTTCAGTATCACATCTTGTTTTA